AACAGAGTACATGGGATCTGCAAACCCACCCTAACAAATGTCACGCGACAGCACGCCGATCATTTCGGCTCTGCGTCTACATCCCCACCTGGACGCCATAACCGCCACAAGGTTGGCCATGACGGCGTTCCCTTCCTGCATAGCCCCGACAATGGCGCCTATCTGTTGTGCGATGTCGCCAACCCGGGAGGAGAGCATCAAAGCCCCTTCCATCGTCGCACGTGCCAGCGTCCCGAAGGCTCTATCCAGCCCAGCGACGGGAGCCCTCGTCGATTCCTCCATGATCGCCCTCATCCCCGCCGTCATCGGCGAACCGTCTCCACGAACCCTGCCCGCCGATGTTCGCCGTGTCTTCGCACTGTGATCTGAAGCATCAGTGCCGCCACCCTCGGAAGCCGCCTCGCCGGCACGATCGGGCCCGCCCGCCTCTTCATTCACCCCCCCCGACTTAGGTACGTCCATCTCCTCTGATGCAAGGGTGTGGTTGCATTTGAATGAAGCCTTCACCCTCCACCATTCCATGGCGTCCCACAGAGAGCGTTCGAAGCCAAGCGGAACCCCCTTCTCCCTCCTTTCATCAGCAACCATGTTGTAGTACCCAGCCTGCCCAGATCGGTCGCACTTGTCTGAGATGAGGTTCACATTGTCCTTCATCTTTGTCCACTTCTTCCTGCAGTTCTCAGGTGTCCGATTGTATCCCGCATCACGCATGCCGTTGTTGATCCACTCGTACCTTCTCCCCCGTGTCATGTGCCTGTGAGGACCGTTTGCATCTGCCATCAAAGCATCGTCCTCCCCGCAGATCTTCGAAAGGCACATGCGTTCCTCCAAGGACCAAGGTGTGTGTTTTTTTGGTGTTTCCGGACGAGGCGCTTTGCGGGCCCGTTGTCTGCCACGCATTGTGTTCGTCTCCTCGCTCAACACAGTCGGCCCATCAGCGGAAGCACCAACTGATGTCGGTCCTTCGTTGTCAGGGAAAGTGCGAGAAGAACCCCCCTCGTCTGTCGTGACAGGTCGGTGGACAGGCGGTGATGGGAGGTGTTGTTCGCCACGCACCGTATGTCGCATAGGATCAGACGCCCCACCATCCCTGGTCATCTCTCGTGAACCTCCTCCGATGGATGATCCCATCGGTGACGGCATTCCATCCCACATCCCGGAATGCCCCGATGCGGACGCCATGCAACATGCAGGAGACAAGTCGTCAACTCTTTCTCCTGTCGGCGCAGTGGCAGGTGTGCACGGCGTTTGGTGAGCACGACGAAGGTGCGTCATTTGGCGGTCGAAATTGTCTGCAGGATGGCCATGTTGTCGATTTGCCATCGACAGTCGAGGTTGGTGTGCAATGTACGGCGTGTGCTGCACTGACGGCGATCGGCGCTGCGGCTTTCCTCCTCCCCATGCACCGCACCCCTGCGAATTGACGTCGAACTATGGGAGACCGGCATCCACCCTCGAAGTGTGATGCACAGCCTCTTTGCCGTACCCGTCCCCTACACCGCCACGTGGCACCACTCCTTGCAGATTGCCACCTGCCGGGGTCGATTCCACGCCATAAAACCCTAGCTGCCCCCCGCCAGGACCGGGCCTGCCCATCCCACCAAACGTCCACGGATGTCCGTCTACCCATTGCGYGACACCTCTCTCCSTCAGCGACTTCCTGCCACAATCTTGACTCCATCCAGGGAACCCGGGACCGCCACCGCCCACCAGACCTCCTGTCTCGCATCCTCTATGTTCATCGCCCCCTCATAACCGCCCATGAGCTCGGCTGTGAATCTGCGGCCTTCCATGGCGAGAAGTACGTCGATGGTGCACAAGATGTGCAGGTCCCTCTCAAAGCCTCCGCTTTGTGAGAAAGTATGTGATGAGGACAGCGGCAGCGCAGAGAATGGCAGAAGCACAGAGAATAGCGACAGCGATCACAAAAAAAAATATGCACACAACTATCGCAATAAAAAAAGTGAGTGCTGCACACAACAGGAAATGTTGTACGTGCCCCCACAGCAACCGACGGTCACATGCGGCCGTGCACCTGCTCCGCTGCACGTAGAGGTGAACTGCCGAAGCCTGTCTTCCACCGTAGAAGATGACGGGTCGCCTGAAGTGATGGCGGTAGGATGGCGTTATTTGCTGATTATCAGTGGATGACGTGGAACGGCCACCGTTCCTCGCCCTGTTTGGCCACTCACATTTGCCAACAACCACCGATGCGGATTCGGCCAAACGGGCAGAGGACGAACACGGACCCTAGCCACAGCGCCGACCGCTGAGGTATGGTGATACGCTGGCGAGCACGACAGGCGTCGGTTGATGGAGTCCTGATTGCCTCGCCGTGCTATGAGCCGCGAGGAAGTGGCGGACGACGAGTGCGGCCGCTCGCAATACGAACCCCTCGCCACCGTACCTAACGGTCGTTCTCTCATGCTTCGGCGAGCAACACCGAAAAAGCACGGACCTTGGAGGACTCTGCCGAGCCTGAACATAGGGAAAGACGGCGCGGAGCACGTCGAAGAAGTGTAGCCGGGGCTATGGCGGACAGCCACGTGCACGCGGATGGAGGACGTGATAGACAGCTGCATGGGATTGCCATGCATGACATGCACGTGCGAGATGTCTGTTCAGTGTATCCAGCTTCGTGTTTGGCCCTGAAGGCACCGCGGACGCACCCCATGGCATTCAAAATTTCGAATTTTAAATTCGATGGCCGAACGCCGTTTTGCAGGCCCTGTTTCCATGGTTCCTGTCCCGTTTGTCCCACCCCGATCGTGCGACAGCGGCTTCGTCTGTCCACCCGTCCGACCTTCGGGTGGGGAGCACCAAGCGGACACGAAATGGACCTGCGTGATCTTCCAAGTCTGGAAAAGGTAGGGGGATGCCCCCCCCCTACCCCCTGCGTTTTCCACAAATTTCGACGAAGCTGACGTGGATCGACCGTTTTTCGCCCGGGAAAGGACTTGGAAACTCGCTCTTCTCTTTTCCAGGCGCCACTTTTCCAGGCGGTGGGGTCTCGGAAATACAAAAAAAAGGACTTCCAGACACTTTTCCACAGGCTGTGGGGTCCGAGAGAACAGCGGGCGGAACAGTTCTTCCAAGATTTTTCCCTGTGGGGTCTACCTCTAATCCGACTTGGAAATGAAAATTGATAGGTCAAGTACCTACACTTTGATAAATCAAGCCTGAGCCTGGAGGCACGAAGTGTTGATTAGATCCCAAGCGAAANACAGCCTCTTTGCCGTACCCGTCCCCTACACCGCCACGTGGCACCACTCCTTGCAGATTGCCACCTGCCGGGGTCGATTCCACGCCATAAAACCCTAGCTGCCCCCCGCCAGGACCGGGCCTGCCCATCCCACCAAACGTCCACGGATGTCCGTCTACCCATTGCGYGACACCTCTCTCCSTCAGCGACTTCCTGCCACAATCTTGACTCCATCCAGGGAACCCGGGACCGCCACCGCCCACCAGACCTCCTGTCTCGCATCCTCTATGTTCATCGCCCCCTCATAACCGCCCATGAGCTCGGCTGTGAATCTGCGGCCTTCCATGGCGAGAAGTACGTCGATGGTGCACAAGATGTGCAGGTCCCTCTCAAAGCCTCCGCTTTGTGAGAAAGTATGTGATGAGGACAGCGGCAGCGCAGAGAATGGCAGAAGCACAGAGAATAGCGACAGCGATCACAAAAAAAAATATGCACACAACTATCGCAATAAAAAAAGTGAGTGCTGCACACAACAGGAAATGTTGTACGTGCCCCCACAGCAACCGACGGTCACATGCGGCCGTGCACCTGCTCCGCTGCACGTAGAGGTGAACTGCCGAAGCCTGTCTTCCACCGTAGAAGATGACGGGTCGCCTGAAGTGATGGCGGTAGGATGGCGTTATTTGCTGATTATCAGTGGATGACGTGGAACGGCCACCGTTCCTCGCCCTGTTTGGCCACTCACATTTGCCAACAACCACCGATGCGGATTCGGCCAAACGGGCAGAGGACGAACACGGACCCTAGCCACAGCGCCGACCGCTGAGGTATGGTGATACGCTGGCGAGCACGACAGGCGTCGGTTGATGGAGTCCTGATTGCCTCGCCGTGCTATGAGCCGCGAGGAAGTGGCGGACGACGAGTGCGGCCGCTCGCAATACGAACCCCTCGCCACCGTACCTAACGGTCGTTCTCTCATGCTTCGGCGAGCAACACCGAAAAAGCACGGACCTTGGAGGACTCTGCCGAGCCTGAACATAGGGAAAGACGGCGCGGAGCACGTCGAAGAAGTGTAGCCGGGGCTATGGCGGACAGCCACGTGCACGCGGATGGAGGACGTGATAGACAGCTGCATGGGATTGCCATGCATGACATGCACGTGCGAGATGTCTGTTCAGTGTATCCAGCTTCGTGTTTGGCCCTGAAGGCACCGCGGACGCACCCCATGGCATTCAAAATTTCGAATTTTAAATTCGATGGCCGAACGCCGTTTTGCAGGCCCTGTTTCCATGGTTCCTGTCCCGTTTGTCCCACCCCGATCGTGCGACAGCGGCTTCGTCTGTCCACCCGTCCGACCTTCGGGTGGGGAGCACCAAGCGGACACGAAATGGACCTGCGTGATCTTCCAAGTCTGGAAAAGGTAGGGGGATGCCCCCCCCCTACCCCCTGCGTTTTCCACAAATTTCGACGAAGCTGACGTGGATCGACCGTTTTTCGCCCGGGAAAGGACTTGGAAACTCGCTCTTCTCTTTTCCAGGCGCCACTTTTCCAGGCGGTGGGGTCTCGGAAATACAAAAAAAAGGACTTCCAGACACTTTTCCACAGGCTGTGGGGTCCGAGAGAACAGCGGGCGGAACAGTTCTTCCAAGATTTTTCCCTGTGGGGTCTACCTCTAATCCGACTTGGAAATGAAAATTGATAGGTCAAGTACCTACACTTTGATAAATCAAGCCTGAGCCTGGAGGCACGAAGTGTTGATTAGATCCCAAGCGAAACGCTTGAGCTTCCAGTCGCCTGGAAGTTCAGACTGTATCATCATCCCATCTTCGCCCTTGTTTTTTGCTTTGCTTTTTTCAAATATCAATTTTTTTATTTTTTTTAAGCCCAACTAATTCCTTAAGCCCAACCAATTTAATAACCTGTCAAATCTGGACAGGACGGCCTTTCAGGCCTTTTTTTTTTTGTCATTATAGTATTACGGGGAGCCCCGTAGCAGCCACATCCGTGCTCAAGCCTCCAACGAGGGAACATGCGGGAGCTGCACCCACCAGCAGGTGCGATACCTGCTACAGCGGGTGGGCGATACCGGCCAGGGGTCARCCGGTAGCAYCAGGACCGRTCTTCTTCGATGGGCCAGTCACTGTGCCTCCCCTCCGGTCTCCCCCTCATTGAACATCAGCAGTCTCTGCTCAATGCCACTGGGGGGGGSCAACGACATATCTCTAGGTGGCGGGCACCAAGCTGGCCCAGGAAGGTACATGAGGCYAATGGGGATTGAACCCAARACCTCCTGAATGCCACTTGCGTGCYTTACCAACTGAGCTATCAAATTTGGTGTCTTGTTATTCCTTGTTGTCACAAAACACAAAGGGTCCAATGGACAAAATTGTTCTATTTGAGTGTAATTTCTTTTTTTTTTTTCTTATTTATTATTGGGTAGTTCCCATTATTTGGAACTTGTTGTTTGAGGATGCCCTGGGGGTCAGCCCACGGCGCTTCCGCTGTCGCGTTAGCGTTCGGACCAAGCACTGCCGTTCCGGTAACGGGGGCATGTTCGGCCGGTGGGGGTACTGACGTGATACCTCCCTGGAAGGTATGGACTCCATCGCCACTTCGCCTCGTCGAAGGGCCGCCTCCAGCTGTCGGTGAAGGAGGTGAGAGAACCATAGCGAGCAGTCGGCGCCGACCTTATGGCATCACAATTCAAATTAGAATTGTTACGGAGAGTCGATCTATCTAAATTTTCTACCGAAACCGAGCTAGGAGTAAGCATAGACACGTAAAGTTGGTGACAAAGATGAGGGATGAGGAGTTAGGTGGAGGAGGGCGATCCCCCCCCTTGGTGCCCGGGATGGGAGGAGCCCAAGGAGGAGCTGAAGACGACGAGAGGATTACTGAACTCGTCAGGTTGTGCTATACCGAAGGAATTATTCCTCTGGATATAGACCCTGGCGAGATGACGGTTGATGGCCGCGTTGCACGATTTAAAGTCAACGTGGCCATTGATCGGGCAAAGGTTAATTGGTTGAAGCAACATATGGTGACGATTATATTCAAGGAAGGGGCAAGATTCCTACCGAAGAAGGTTAAAGATGACATTGTTCGTGCATACGAAGATGAGCGAGTACAGGATGACAATTTCGAGGTTGACACGTTCCATCGAGGAAGAGTGAAAATAGAGAGCCCAAACGTGGTATCATACGTGGCCAAGAATCCAATCATCGCCTTGTGGATGGTTAGTAAACGACATAGCCGCTTGACAATGGGAGCATCAGAATACAGACTGGAGTTTAAACCTTGGCTAACGAAGGCACAACTGGCAGATCAAAGGAGAACAGA